TCAGCGACGGCGTATACAAATGACGTACCACTTTTATCTGATCTGAAGGCGGCATAAGATTTGCAAGTGGCAGTATTAGGAATTCGGACTTTCAGAGCCAATCACCGTTTAACCTTAAAAAGTCAATAAAAATTCATGAAACAGCGAAGTTTATCTGAAAAACATCGTATTCTATTATACAATTAATTACGAGATTACAGCGGACTCTTTCGAATTAAGAGGTATGCAGATTCCTAAATAAATAATTATACACATCATTCCCATTCCAAAATGAATTAGTAGACCAGTTCTCATAACACACACCCACCAGTTATCGTTACAGGAGAAATTGCAAAACGTCCATTAATAATAAAACTCTTCCACGTCGCATCTTTTTTTTATTTCTACGTCAAGCCGTAAATCTTTCGCTTCTTCTGAAACAATGAGAGGAGATCCCGACGATACACTTTCGGACATTTCGGTTTTATTACTCGAAGACGTTACGCAATACCGCTTTCTGTTTGGTTAAAAAAGTGTAGGGTCTATCCGAGGTCAGGTCAGATCAGTTCGATATCAAAGAAAGATATGCGGAGAGAAAAAAAATAAATAAAAATAATGGAGCAAATATTATTTCAGTCAAAGTTCGACATCCTTATAGACTCCTATTGAGTCAGATACGATCTCTTGATTGCTTAGTAGCGTTTGATCCTTCGCCGAACAATTCAATTGTCCAAATCGTATGGGCGCTGCGTTTCTAACCAAAAGAATTACTTCTTACATAGTTCTAAGCTATGAGCAAATAATCGTTTTAAAAACGATGCATTTATTATGATGTCGAAGCAAAATATGTTCTTTTTCTTCTCCTTCATACTTTAAGTGTCAATCCTCATGCCATTTGTGGTATAATGGGCAGAGTCACGAAAGGCAGAAATTTATCCGTCATCTCACGTACTTCTAGTTGTTAAAACTACGAGAAAAAAAAACGTTATAATGTAGAAACATGAATTCACGAATGACTGACGCGTCGGTGTGATCATTTCGAATTGATTATTTAACGCACGATTCAATAAGAATGTCCTTCTGTAGCGTGCAGGGAACACTCGCCTTAATGTAATTGCGGCTTTAACAATGCATTGCGAAAGAGGCATGTCCTTTTGGACACGATGGTGTCACTCGATAAAAATTCTCCTGCGCATGACATTCAGTTATGTATGAACCAAATGCCGACGCATCGTTACGGTACGAGAAAGAACCAGAGATGACTAGGAGATGCACAACACTACGGTTTTAGGCAGAGATGAGTGGGGAGATGCACAACGCTCCGGTTTTAGGCGATACCAAAAGCATGGCGCTAAATCGTAGCGGCGAGTCCGGGAGTAGGATTTTGTGATCATCGCCTCCGTCGATAATGCGAATCCCGTCGTAGCCGAGCGGAACGTGATCAGGAACGTGTAGTCTGACCGGCAGAGGTTCTTCGCAACTTACCGCTGGTCTCCAGAGCAACCCTTAGAACGAGGCCACTTATCAGATATTGCCTAAATATTTTTTTGTGTAATATTAAATTCAAGTGTAAGCTTGATAGGATTTACTAAGACAAAAGCCAGCACCTCATGCCTGCCTGAGTTAAGGAGTGTAGCGATGCGGTGCTAGCTTCCAGCATTATTTAACAATAGTTTCAAGCCGAACTATGGTCCCAACATTGAGTACTAGAGAGAACTATCCCGGAACTGTTTGAAACACAATCTGAACACAACACTGAAAACCAGCTCCTTATGCATACTTGCACTGTAGCGTATGGTGCGACTAGTATCCTTAATAGGTATTTTACCGATGTTACGTAGCAGAACTACTGTTAAAACCTATCAGGAACTACAGAACTCCTCGAGAACCATTGAAAAAGCCTATTGTTGAATCATTTTTAAGAGATTTTAAAAAAGTGCGGTGCTGGAGCTCCACACTCGTATGCCACCTCAATTTTTGGAAAATTCGTATTTTAACGATGTTACATAGCTGAACTATTGTTAAAACCTATCCAGAACTATAGAACTCCTCGAGAACTATTGAAAAAGTCTATTGTTGAAACATTTTTAAAAAATTTTGAAAAAGTGCGGTGCTGGAGCTGACACCCGGGTAGTACCTCAATTTTTGAACAATGTTTCATCAAATAAGCTTTTTCAATAGTTCTAGATATTATATAGAATAATTTTGCTACGTAACACCGTTAAGATACGTATTTTCCAAATATTGAGGTGGCAGTCATAGTCGATTTTTATTAAATAAAACACCATCAGGGTCACTGGGACGTTAATTAAGCTCAAAGCAGTCTCCTGCGCTTATCCCTACCCTTATCTGTCTTCTCCTTATAAATTATTATGGTTACCATAAACTAGCTTTATTATTTAACATTTATATAAAATACTATTAGCGCAATACACTGCATACAATTATTCTAGATGTACTTATATGCTGGTACATGGGTAAGCTTTGTGACGTGATTTTTCGATTCACGGTCACAAGGTGACTCCGACTTCCGATATAAATAACGTTCTCGCTTTTTGGTTCCCTTCGAGTCACCACCCTACTCAGAAGCTACGCTCTCGGGTTGATTCGTATAGTTACACCAATGCTCTCGTAAGATTTCGTTATTTTTTAGTTGAGGTCGAGGTGCTCGAAACTGCCGTGGGAAGATAGTTCCGACGTACCGAGTTGCCCAGCAAAGGAGAGTACCCGACGGAGAAGTCTCTACGGACCGACAGAAGCCCGGGCGAGATACCGGCGTCCTCCTGGATATAGCAAAGGGCTGTAGACCGGGCAGAGATAGAGTTTTGATACGGTTAAGGGCAGGGGAGGAACACCCTGACCGGAGTTAAGGATGTGGTGCCCAGCTGTGGCCCGATGCCCTGGGGAAGCGGCCGTGGAAGATCTCCAAAAGTTACGTACCGATTCGCTAAGGAACGCTCTCGATTTGGTTTAAAGGGACGGCTTGAGGGAAAGAAAGAGTTATCGGCTATAAGGATCTCGACCAATCAGAATGACTAGTTACGAATTTGGCTATTGTCAAAGCAGTCTGTCTCGGGGCACTGACCGAGGTGTCACGAGCTGCCTCGCTCTCCCGTGCTATCTGTTGATAGTTTTTCTAGCCGTGTTTCGATACGGTATAGCAAGTTCTCGCTCGTGTAGTTCTCGCGATGTTCTCATGAAATCCACGAAATTCTGTGGATTTTCTGTGAGTATTCCGGACGTGTAGTGCTGTGCCAACCCGAGTGTCTCCTGGATGCAGTTCTCAGCTCTCACGGATCAGCTGCACTAGTTCCGGTGAGTACTCCCAATTTATTAATTGGTGAAAGGATTTCGATTAGTCACGTCCGATTCGTTCTGTTACGTTCTCAATTCGTTGCTCTCTGTATCGTGCACTATTTGCCTGATACTTACTCCGACCCTCTCTAGTTCAAGATAACAACCTGAGCGGCCGTGCATTTACCTAACCGTCCGATCCTGTTCGTGCATCCAGTTGCGTTTGCTGATTTTATGCGACCTCAACGATCAACACCTACGGTTGCGTTTCTCGATTTTTATGCGTCCCCAAAAATCTATAGGATTCGTTATCGTCTTTCTGATAGGTTCCGTCAGCTGTTCTCGTTTTGGCGGAGTTGGGTCTGTTCCACCTCAACTCCAAGGACATACCGGTTCGTCAGTTCCCGGTAAAACAAGACTTGGCCAGCGCATGCCTAGCTTGCGGATGCGTGAACGAAGGATGTAATGTAGGTTAGGTATTGTTGAAACTTTTTAAAAGATTTTGAAAAAATCTTTTGAAAGGCGCTGAAGCTGTACACCCGTGTAGTACCTGAATTTGTGTAAAATACGTATTTTAACGATGTTACGTTGCAGAACTATTGTTAAGACCCATCAGGAACTATAGAATTCCTTGAGAACTATTGAAAAAGACTATTGATAAAACATTTTCCAAAAATTGAGGTGCTACACGGGTATGAATTTGGCACCCTAGTTACTTAAATATGTTTCAATAATAGGCTTTTTCAAAAGTTCTCGAGGAATTTTATAGTTCCTATCTGTACGCTCGAATTTAGTTACTATTGCAAAGAAAACAAATATTTAGTCACATTTACGTTATGTCAGAACCTTTAATTCCTATAGTGAATGTATCAATAACTTTTCCTCATATAGAGTTCATAAGATATTTTGTTCCAAACACAGGTATAAGGAGTTGACTCGAGTAAAGAGTCTCGGCGCGCTGCGCCCTGTACAGCCGGTTGCCTGTACTTGGCGCGAGACTCGACCGAGTCTCTTGATAAGTCTCGTAAGACTAAAATATACATAGATGGCTCTATATGATGGGTCCGTAGCTTGCTCTTTTTTATCGACAGTTGCATAGTCAGTATTTTATCCGCTGTGAACGACGGTCATGATGCTTACAGGGTAAAACAGGGTAGATATCGACGGGGAGTTTATATTACTTGCACGTTCTTCATTTTCGATGGCGCTTCGAATGCTTTTCATTACGTTCGCAATTAAAACATTAAACAATATCAATCATAGAATAATAGAAAATTAAATAGCAATATCAAAGATCAAGATAAAACAAAAGACTTGCCAGTAACTAAACATTATACTTAGGCCACGTAAACAACAAATATTTACAATCAATTTCTACGTAATATACAATTTCATCCGTTACGTAAAAGGACACTAATATGTGGACTATTTTAGGTTATATTCATACCGCATTCTATAACTTCGGTGAGTAGTAAGTAAATATATATATGTCCATTGCATTAATTGTAGTACCTTTTTTTTTATTCCGAATATGCAGCTTATCTCTCCAACTCACTGTAAAAATTATAATTAGCATCAAAATGGAGTATGAAATCTATTGCAAATTTACATGTGATATCAAAATCTGGAAGAAATAACAATAATAATGACTTTTATAGACACTTTTATTTCGTTATATTACATGGATTAGCTATGATATATCACGATGATTAATTACATTTGGCTTATGCCGCCGTGCATTTTAAACTCAACCTTGTATACTTTACGACTTTGAAAATAATCTAATACAACCTCACGATAACCTTGTAATACCTAATAGAATATACTCAGTTCTAATTACAATATAATACATCCCTCGTTAATTGAAATATATGAATACTTTACTTTGGTGTTTCTTAACGTAATACGTATGATTCTCCGTGACAAATAATTCACAGAGTACCAGCTGCTGTACCAGGTGCCTTTGAGCTCATCAATCGAATTACCAGCGAAGTGTCCCTGACCAAGTAATTAAAGCTCGAAAGGTAATAAATATTAATGAAAACGCAATCGCGTTCTCCAAAATGGCTACGCTCCTCCCTATCACTCGAAAGGGACACCCAATATCCAATTCCTCAAGTATAAACCAAATCCCTGGCATCCATCTGCTGTCTTTGAGGCTCAAGGTAGGTTTACGAATGAGATCGCATAATTTCCCTGACCATCGTTCGCACCCAATACACATTCTATCCCTACAATAATTCATCACGTAACATTAATTTCTTCGTCCTCCTCATTATCCGTATGCTCTTCTGGTCTCTGAGGACTCGTTAATGGACTGACGTCACTTAGATCCAATCTGGGCCTGTCGCCGTCAGCATCGCTCAAATCTGGATTAGGATTATTCTTGTTAGGCAATGTCTGCTCCCTTGATCCACCGTTAGCCAGTAATTCACGTTCCTTACTGTTTCGCCATTTCATACGTCGATTTTGAAACCATATTTTCACCTGGAACGAAAACGCCATAAAATATCAGTTAGAAATACTCAAGAAGCTTCTTATCGTTAACAAGGATATATTCAAAAGAAAAGTAATTTCAAAAATGTGTTTTCGCTTTCCTATCTGTATACGGAACACCCTTCACCCTGGTCATAAATGTGTTTAAGGCTGGGTCTATTATCGCACTTAAACTGTAAAGGGTGATTACAAGGTACAGGCTGATCCCCTAGGGATCTAAGGGTATCCCTCTACATGGACTCATGTATGTTGCCGTATGCTACCCTTCATCCAATTGGATTCTCTAGTCCCGCCCTATTGCCAATCACGAGGCACGCCCGGCGCTTCTTGTCTCAGCCCTTAACCAGAGACAGCACCCTTATTTTGTACGTTAAAGACCATGCATTATCCAGCCGTTAAACGGGCCAACGTCAAATGCACGCGTCTCCAGATTCCCTACATATCCCTCTGGTATCCCCTTCGTCTTCCTCGCTGACACGTTCCACGTGCTACCTTAAATTCCTGTTAAATCGTTGACCCTACGAGCGGGATTGATTTACCTAAACTGTTTTTCGAATTTTCATTTAGTGGGTGTGCAGTTGACACCTCTGAAACGACTGTCGACCCGGCTATTCTTTTTAAGGGTTAACGCAGGGTGGTATCGAATGATCGTTTGTCATTCGGTGCAATTAAATTTGCTAGCTTTACTTTTGCGCTGTAACGAAATTTTGTATTTTGGATTTGACAATGTTTCAATTGATTTTATTGACTTGCGTCACGACGGCAACGGTGTGATAAAGAAATAAAAAAAATTGTATCGTTACGGTCACATCCTTTCTTTCAGAACGTTAGCGTTACCCTGGTCGCGTTAACGTAACTTCACAGCCACCTGAAATAGGGTGTGAGGGTAGCTTTATTTTCGTTTTCTTCGTTTCGTTTTACGTTTACTGGGACGGCAGTGATTGATTGTCCCGTCAGTAGCAGCCAGGGCTGAGAGTAACAAAAGTAACAAAGCGCCAGACCCGCGCCCCGCTTTTCGGCAAAGTTGAATTACTACGTTTCCGCCGTACGGGGCGGTTACGGGTTCGCGTTAATTTTGTCTTCGGGAGTGAGATTTTTTTTTTTTGACGACTTTAAAGAAAGCTGCCATACCGCGTCACGCAATGCGGGTCAGTGACTGGGCAAAATTTCTCGATGGTAAATTCCGAACAGGACAACCTAAATTCTATAGAGTCATATACGATTACCAAAATCAGTAAAGGGAACGTTCGAGAGGTCAAAAAACAGCCCCCGTCCCTCTTACCCCTTGTGCAATCGCAAACCGTTTAAATATAAAATTCAAAAAAAGCATTTCCCTCGCTTCTCGCACACAAGAGGCTAATCCGTCGAGACCGACGAGTGTTACTCCTGGATAGTTTATCCAGTCGGGATTATGAGTATTAGGTATAATGATATCTGAAATGCGTTATAGAGTGAGTGAGTAGGTAATCGTTAAACGATTGGCTGCAGCCTCGCCTGAGCCTTCGCTACCCTAGCAACCCTCGGCATCCTCCGTTTAACTCCCCGACTACTCCCATAGCCCATGCCCCCATGCCCCATGCCAAGCACGCTGTGCCCCATAGCCGTGCCTAGTGGCGGTGGCGCCATCTGGCGCAATTTAATAAAAGACGATCGATTATGACGTCGGCCTCAGAACTACCCCTGAGCGCGAGGAGGTAAGAGAGGAGGTCGACGGAGGCGGAGGAGAGTTGGTATAGAAGCGGTTGGCAGGGTTACGGAAGGGAGGGAGGAGAGCATGGGAGAGAGTGAATCGGTGAGTATAACCCGAGGGAGAGAACAAGAGAGACGGAAAAGGGGAGAATGGAAGAGAAGGGGTCGTGGGAGATTGTTAAAGGGGAATGAGGAGGGGGGATCAAACGTAAAAACTCTGGCGTAAAGCTGCGACTTGGTGGTGGGGATTATACTTGATGTATGGAAGGAATTTCGAATTCACATGTTAATACGTAAAAAGGGGATTCCATATTTATTGTTATACCCGCTATGGATTTCGAGGGTGGTTATGGATACGAGCATCCTGAACTTGAAGGATGTATGGGAGTCTGCTCTTCTAGTAGCTTCAGGCATCGATGGCCAAGATACAATTACCACGTGATTGATACTGTATGTGAAATCATGCCGTATGAGAAAATAGGTAATTAAATATGGTAATAGAATACGCACTACGTTTACCATAGAAATTTTTCAGCTCGGATTGAGCCATATACCGAGTATCTCAATTATACGTTTTGGGACTCCGATTTGAAATAGGGATGACCCAGGCAAGTTTATCCATTAAAGTTGATTCGCGTATCTTGAGAATTATTAAATGGAATCCATAAAGTATAAGAATCTATATGCATACCAGGATATTGTATATTCATGGTTTCTTAGCTCCCGCCTCCAGGACCACGCGGCATCTCAAAGTAAAATCCATAATGCATGAAGGACCATGGCTTAGCCAAAGCTTAAGCTATAGGATATTGCACGACGTTATATTCATGTTATGCCCTGGAAGAGGCAGCCTTTGTTTTTAATATCTACAGCATATTATGCCAGAAGTTCGGCCATAAGCGAAACATTATATTTAGGCGTATCAGGGGAACGAGGGAATTTACCTCTTATCAAAGAGTCGTTTGATAAATTGATACTTGAATTGAGAAAATTTTTATTAAAGAATCACGCACTCGTTCGAGTACGTAAACACTGGCGTTTATTAATTGTATTATTTCAGGCGCTTTTATGTACGTCCAAATGACAGTGCAAACAGTGGGACTTCCCGTTAGGGAAAGGTCGCGGTTGAGAGGCACTTGAAACGTTACCTAAGATAAACGGGAATACAGTCTCGGACTAATGGCTACAAATTGATTTGACTGATGGAATCCGGGAAACTCTATATCCAGTGAAATTCAAACCTAATGGCCGATCTATCTAACGTGTCAGCGTCAGGTCTTTCGGTCGCTGTGGGAAATACAGGGATTGCGTTTGCCCACTGATTGACTAACCATAGCATAGGAACGGTATAGAGCTTGACTCGTAGAAATTACGACGGTTTAATTATATTGGCCACGATGAATAATTACGAGGTGCCCAGGAGTCGCCGACGGAAAATCGGTAGGCGCTCGTTCGTACCTCTATTTATATGTAGTCGGATAAGAAGGAAAGAAAGAAAGAACTAAAGAAAATGACTTTCCTCTCTTTTCCATATACTCGTTCTTTCTATCCTTTTTCTTTTTCGTTCTATTGCTAAGCTTCCGCTCGATTGGAGCCCGTGCTTTTTCTTCTTGGGAGCTTAAGTTAGTAACCTGTCAGAACCAACCAACGGGATCTATTATTTGCACGGACCTAATCTTCGAATTCCATGAAGACCCACAGTCCCCCCTATGACTGATTCAATAAGATTCCAGTATGGCAAGATAATAAAAAAAAAAAAAATTTGCAAGAGGATGATATAAGGATTAATTTTATTGTACGATTGCTGTATAGGACTGTCTCTGGATAAGGACGTCACTTGTACTGATTAGAAAAATTGTCCTTAGAAATTGTAAAGCATGGAATAAAGGGACGATTCGTCTTAAGGTTTTCTTATTTATTTTTGAATAATAATAACGACTGCTGACTGTGAATGATATCGCAGATTTTAGGGTAGTCCACGCGACTGTTTATATACCAGATAAGACGGAAGCTTTATCAGTGGGGAGCCAAGATAATAGGTACAGAGGGACGATACGAATGGAGAATTGAAATTCCGTGAAATTTCGTAAGACTGCAGGCGCCCACATCTTCGTCGTACAAATTAAAGAATTAAGACAACAGCGTGATTCTGACAAGCTGCCATCAGCTGGCTAAAGAAAGCTGGCGTGCTGTCGGGACGGATTATTAAAAAGATAACGAGCCTCCGGGGCTCTTATAATTCTTCTTTTAAATCTGTCAGGGGTGGCAGGATCTTTGATTTAACTGCGGTATTTCATTCCGCTCGAGTTGGAAGCAACACCTGGAACGACAGATCCGGCGCACGCGGTCACGTGAAAATTCGTGAATAAGATTTTGCGGAAAAAAAAAATGTATACTGATATGTTTTTTTTAAATATTTTTATAAGACGATGCGAAAAATTGTTTCAACGTATCAGCTGAAGGTTTAGTAAAAAAAAATGGGATCTTAATAATAAACTAGTGTAGTAAATTTACGAGGGTGAGCATGGGAAGAGGAGAAAGGGGCAGTTGCGCCTAACTGAGGTGGCGCTGGGTCCACCCACCATCACTAATTACTTTAGTTATCCCTCTGGAGTCCTCGCCCAGTTCGTTTCACCCCTTGCGATAAAGCGCAGCGTTCAAAGTCGAGCGAAACGCCACCTTGGTTCGCCCACAAAGTACAAACTACTAAGAAGCCTTTATTATTATTATCACACCGCTCGTAAACCACGAATCCTTAATTAAATCCAAGAAGAGATTCATGGAGCGAACGCGATCAAATCTACGATTATTCGACTTACGATCAGTCATTAAATGATCCTTTGGAATAATCAGATTCACTTTTCGGATTAAAGCATTTCGTATCCCTCTCTTCATCTTACACGCGTGTAAGCCAATAAGCCCCTCTCTCTCGCACTCACAGGAAATATAAGAAATTTAAAAATCTTAACAAATATTCAATTCCGTTCAATTTTTCAATTTAACAATGCATCTTAACCCAATCTTGACCCTTAAATGACACCTGTAGTCATCGAATACAAAATTCATAGTTTGGTCAGAAAAATTGATTTGCCTTTTAGAACGAGCAGAAGATTGTAAAAGGACGTCAATTTACATGGATCCCAGGCAATGGCGGGCTAATGCAAAGTCGTGCAAGCACTATCGACGTGTGTTCTTACGTTTCTCGTAAAACCGAGAACAGAGTGAGCTGCGACCAATGGCAGTCGAGGTATGGCGCTCAAGGTGTGAATTATACATGAGGATATCCTCCGACCCTCCCGTCCTATTCCATCGGCAGCTTACCAGCTATCCCTTGTCCCTATTTACTCCAAAACTTGAAGCCCCTCTGCGCATGCGCCTTCCTACCACTTCACAATCAAACGCGCCACTAACTATAGCGAACGTATAGCAATTCACGGGTACGTCATCTGCACCATATCTACATTCTAACCCCAGAGTCCTTGGAAGAAAATGAAACGGTATACATACTATAAATTAAGGTTAGTTTTCAATTGCGACGGTCTAATACCACGATCGTCTCCGTCGCTGGGATAAACAGCCCAACCAGCCGGGAAAATCGTTGAACTAAGCTCATGAAATCAAATGAAACCAGCTCAGTACCATTTCCGGGTTTGTTCGGTTTCATTAGTATCGCACAGTTAGATTTGGGGTCGGCAATGCTAGATGTGTGCAACTAATGAACTGGCATTACCCGATTAACCCCAACCGAGGTATTATGTGCCTACTCTATGTACATACACCTACTCCACTCTTTCTCTATATATCAATACGATACGCCGAAGTACCGTGGGATACGTACGTGTAACCGGTTGCGTGTATACATACTGACGTAGGAATGTCCTATATATACCTATATATTTACTCACTGCCGGCTGAAGCTCGAGCATTAGTCTCTATCAATCCGGTGAATGGAGTTGAGTAGAGTTTAGCGGAGCTGAACTCGCGGGGGGTTTCGTACTTCGTTAACCCGACAATTAGTTCCCTAATAAGGTCATTAAGTGCCGTATATAATCTCGAGCACTCGATCACGCAGGGAAGTCGTATAACCGACGATTTCGTATAACGACTGTACATCGATATATCGATATAACGTATACGTATCTGAGATACTGTAAACAAGCTGCAATCTGCCTCTGGCTGATGACCATCGCTAAGTGGTTACTGTTTTTGCATCATTTAAAACGACTTCACTGTACTTTGAATTTGAACTGTTCAAAGTGCCCGGCAATTATTACCTTAAAGAGTGCCCATATCTACCCGAATCGACACACAGTGTACTTTTTCTTATTGAAATTCTTACCTGAGAATCCTTAAGTCCAAGTTTCTCCGCTAATTTCTTACGATCGGGTTTGCTGATGTATTTCTGAATCTGGAACCTCTTCTCGAGGCCGCGTCTTTGAAGATCCGAAAACACAGCCCTCCTCATCATCCCTCTACGTGGCTTACCCCGTGCGCTTCCCGCCCAAGGAAATCCAAGACTCATACCAGCCAAGTCGTTAAGACCACCCTGCATCGCGCCGGGGAATCCTGCTCCGCCCCCAGGTGCACCGGGATGATGACTTCCGGTACCAGGCGTCGCCACTGGACAAACAAACGGCACGTATTACTTCGCGCTATTGCACAATTTTTATATGGCAATAAACGCTCCTCGCAGCCTTTCATTCCGATGATCAAAGTCCTTGCCAGTGCGGAGGACCAGGCAATTGAATTTCGAGGTCGCGTGTCTGAGCGATATTGCCAAGCTGAGCATGATGATATTATCTGCACCGATGATATTTCCACGCACTTGTTGCATGCGTACGTTTTGCTTGTGACGGTGCTGGGCACACATAATACGGCAGTGCTTTCACTGCACTTCATATGCACTCCATGTCCCATGCGAGCCTACCTCTAACAAGATATGCAATGTATCTATACGGTGTACGTGCTCGTGTTAATTCACCGCGGTCAAACGGCGACGATTCAGTTTTAATTGTTGCATTGTAGTTTCTTTTTTAATGCTTATCATTGATACCCTTATTATTTGATGAAAAAAGAAAAATTTTTAACTAACCAGTGAGATAAGGTCCTCTACATGCCAGGAGCTGATGCAACGCATGATGAGCGTTTGGCGGTAGATGATGTTGAGCTGGATGATGTCCTGGGTGCGGAGGATGATGTGGGTGATAGGCGGCTGGTCTTGCTATCGGTTTGGCTATGTTATATCCTGCGGAATTTTGTAGGTTGTGAAGAAACGCCGGTATCGCACCTGGCGGAAGGCCTTGGAAGCTCTCTATATAACAGACAACAAATTTATGTTGAAAATTTACATGGAATAATATACTTATATATACTCATTTCATGCTAGCGACTACAATTCACCGAACGCAATTATTTCTTAAGAACGAATCGCAAACAGCCAAGTGTTAATGCATAAGTGGCAGAGCTTAGGAAATTAAGTTGCCGGTAAATTTTACCAGCACGCGGCTCGCTCCGTCGGTACACGGTGAAATGTTTAAATCACTGTGTTCCTTGTGACGTATAATTCAACCTGACACCCTCAACTAAACCCTTCTCAACAGCTCCAGGCAACCCTCAACCTCCTGACGCACTTCAACACCTTCGTAAGAGTAAATGCCCAGCCATATAATCACATATTAAATATACACGTTGTATGTACGTCTAAAAATATTGATATATGGCGATTGAAAAAAATACTTAAAAAAAATTGAAGATCGATTGAATAAATTTTACTTAATATATTCAATTAATTAGACATTAAATATTTTTTTATAAGAATAAGATGCTCAAGTGATAATCTGTTGTTTGAATGACAAAAATATGTGACTCGGAATTCTAATCCACGTTTAGAAGTTTATTCGTTCGTTAATAAATAAACAAGTGTGACGATCGCGAATTTATGACGTCATTAATATCATTTCATTGCGGTATGACGAATATACCATATAATTCCCGTTTTCATATTAAATGAAATATGGCGGCATCGTAAGGTAGGACCGAACGATTACTATGAAGTCGTTATTTTATTATCGTTTTCTTAGTACAGTCGTATTTCAGAAAGGCCATTTTATTATTCATAAAATTATAAACGTCTCTTCTGCGTCGTTGGTCCTTGCTATACATATATATATATATCTTTAACATTTTATAATTATCACTGGTACCCGATAGCGGACCACGAAAAAATTTCTTTCGTCAAAAAAACAAAAGCGATTATTCTTTCATTTGGTCGTTCATGAAATATGAAAAACCATGCCCGCACGTAGCGCTTACTGATCTCGCATTCTTTGAACCGATTTATCAGGATACGGTTAACGATAAATTGTAATTTCGTAACCGCCCCTATATAGACAAGGACCTTTTAAAGCATACAGGCATAAAGCAGTCGGATCGTCAGGCATTCTGGATTTTGGGATGGTACCAACATACGTGAGAGCCTAACCCCCTCTCCCCCCCGTCTGTCTATCCATAATAATGCATAAGGGGGCTGGTCGAAGGACTATTTTTAACATTTTTTTAGATGGTCCGCCACGCCCAGTGGTTCCGAAAAAAAAAAGTGACGTGTTTGAAAATAATAAAATAATGGAGCTTAGTCAGGGGTTTGCTTTGCGTTCAACCAGACAATGCCCGACAATGGGCTATACACGTCGCCCCATTGTATAACGTACCCCATAAAATACTCATCGCCTTTTATCGTTGTTTTCCTAGCCAGCCAATGAGAAAGCAGACCCGAGGAGAACGGGCTAATAACGGATCAGGATCCAACGGAAACATTGAATGGGAATGATTTTTTTTTTAACCCAACAAGATTAAGCTCAGCCGAAGAGCTGCGATGTTGTTACAGTTGTAGCAGTTTTTCTAGGGCCCCAGTTAAGTCCTCCTTTTTCTAACTGTCCGGATAGATGGTTATTTTTTCGGATTATGGTTTGATGCATTATTAACTAGATACTGATGCAGGTTTCATCCCTGAATGCATCTACGTCATCGACTCAGGGAAGAGCTGCCAGGGGTGTGCTACTTGGTCATGATATTTATTTTACACACAACCCCGATGCATTTGATCTCGACGATTCTCATAAACACGTCTGCCCTCCGATAATTGTAAATGGAATATATTATACAGAAATTGACAATTATGCATTTGCCGATGCACTAAATGCAATTCCGAGCACGGAGCTCCAATTCTAATTTCATATAAACATCTGCACTGTGCCATTCGTCTGTCTGTGTATTATTCGGTTTGTCGGTACTCGCGTCGCCGATGAATTTCGAATTTGTTGCTAATCACTTTTTCGCACTATTATTTAACAACATTTCGACATGACGTATAAACGGATATGGTGGGTGGGTGTAGTACAGTGAAGAGAAGGGGAGTGGAGCATTGACTGGG